CCTCTTCATCTGGTGGGATGATGAGGGAGGAACCGGCTCTCCAGGTGCCTACAGTTTGCCCTAACTCCTCTCCAGGGCAGTGGCAGCAGAGGGACGACACGACATGTAAGGTTTTTATGGTTTACACTCACCCAGTCCTCACATGCCAGTTACAGTATACGAACATACATGATCCACGCATACATACTAATATAAGATGGTTTATAAAGTTAAACACACACACACACACACACACACACACACACACACAACATGTAAATGTAAAAAATGCTTAAACTATGTTGTTTCTTTGTGTCTGAAATGCTTTTCAGCTCTCCTGCATGAAGTCCTGGTGAAACAGGAAATAATCCTTCAGCAGCAGTGCGGCCTCACCAAAATGGTGCAGGACCTTTTTGTTGCTGTTGCTGCTCTTCAGGGCCTGACCACAAGGGGGAAGTGTGGAGACCAGGCACCATGGCATCTTCCCCTTGGCAGATGTTTAGGCCCTGATGGCCCTGGAGAGGGAGCTTGGAATCAGTCCAACATTGGCCCATGAATTGGTGAGCTTTTTTTCTGTTCTTTACAACAAAGTTTTGGACAATGCATTTTGGAATGCACATCCAATTTATGTGTTGTTCAATATCTTAAAGTGGTAGATATGCCAAAGGAGTTAAAGGACATGTTGTGCAGCTAACGAGCTCCACCCAATTATTTGCGCCCCCCACGTTTCAGGTCTCTGTCCTTCATCAGGCAATCACGAAACACCAAATAAATAAATAGCGGAACACAATGGCTATCCAGACTTTTCTTTAAGTTTGTATAATATATGTTTGAAAATTCAATGAAAATCAATCTTTGTTTGTTTGAAAAATTAACGAAGATCAATTTTTCTAATTTTAGGGTTCAACACTCAGCCTTGCGGGGGGGGGGGGGGGGGGGGGGGTGTCCACAGTAAAGGACACTGTGTGGCGGGTCCTCAAAGGAGCCATGACTAATGCCCTCACCAAGGGAATTACTTGGTGAGGGCAAAATGGGAAGGTGGCCTTTGAGAGGCATAGGCGTCATTTTAACCGGGGACGCCGGGGACATGTCCCCGGCAAAATTTGTAATCGGCAGCTGTGTCCCCCCCCACTTTCAAAAAAGCCTGCTGATGAGGATTTTTGTTTTACCAGCTCAGATCTTATACCAGGGGTCGGCAACCTGTTCCCATCAAAGAGCCATTATTACCCGTTTCCCACAGTAATGAAAACACTGGGAGCCACAGCAGCGCAGCGTTGTGGGCGGGGCCTACCCTCAGACAGCAGAGAGCTGCTCACAACAGGTGACAGCAGCCGGTACCATGGGCGTCGCACCCGTGGGGGATGCAACACCTACACTTTTCCAGCTGTTTTGCTCACCTCCACACCAGTCTGGTTTCTTTAGGTCGCACTCACTCTGTTTGCCTCATCTCCTTCTTCACCTCCTCTATTCTGACAGCCGATGTCAGGTTCAAGGAGAGCAGGAGATGGAGGGACGGAAGAGGTTAACTGAATTCATAATTTTACATCTTGACATTAGCTGTACAAAGTCTGAGTTTGATCAAGTGAAGAACACCAATCTGCAGAGGTTTATAACAGGCGCAGCGCCAGGTTTTCATTTTTGGGTGGGCCACGGTCATTTTGAACGGACCTTAATAAGCAGAGACAAGTGAAGCAGGCAGGTCGCGCTAGAAAATTTCGTTTAAAAAGACGTCATAAATGTGTTCCCCCGTCATTTTTATTTCTAAAATATGAAGTAAAAACTCACAATTTAATTTTCATTCATTTGTCATTAATATGTAGTCTACACCCGTGCGTTAAGTGGACCATCTTCCAGTAAAAGCAAAGCATCCGGTCCACCTCTCCAAATGCGTAAAATGTGCATCACAGCCACTAGGCGCACCGCGCGCACCGTCAGCTGTCAGCCCAGACAAGAGCAGAGCAACTAGAGAAAGAATAGAGGATAATTGTGTCTGGATGTGGATGGAGATTACATTTTACAGCAGCCTGATCATCATTTAAATACGTAAACCATCACCTGTCTTCTAGTCCACGCTATCAGCATTATTTTAATTGGTGTGTGTGTGTGTGTGTGTGTGTGTGTGTGTGTGTGTGTGTGTGTGTGTGTGTGTGTGTGTGTGTGTGTGTGTGTGTGTGTTTTCCACTTCAAACACTGGTCTAACCAACCAGACCAGCGTGTCCAGTAACATATTAATGTTACAATTAAACAGTTTCACTTCATGTAGGCTAGGAACATTTCACCTGCCGTAGCCCGACCGCTTCTGCTCCACATGAACTTTGTGCGTGACCAAATGTCTCTACAGGTGCTTTATGAGCTGAAGAGGCGACTGGATGCATCATGCGTCTCAATATTGGAGACGGGAACAAGCGCTATTCAGCCAAACTTTCATAATTTCATAAAAATAACATTTTCCAAGTGACAGATCCCTCAGAGAGACTGGGTTTCCAGACCGCTTCAGTGGGAGGAAATCAACCAACATCCTTGAGTTTATCCGTCAAAATAAACAGTCAAATGGAAATATCTGTAACCTGTCATTTAACTCTTTTGCCTTCCTGTGAAGATTGTTGCAAAGAGAAACAACTAAACTTGATTAACCCCAGAGCCGTGCGCACTGCGCTGCACGTCGTGACTGTAAATGAGGGGAAACGATTTAATCGGATCCTTTTCTTTTCAACATGGTTTAATGTAAAGTTTCATTCAGTACAAACTTTAGTTACACCAATCTAACGAGACAGAGCCTGGATTTGTATTCTGAACAGTTTAAACATGTTTAAAACGGAGACATGCGTGACGCGTCTAAAATTCACACCTGCTCCGCTATTATGGAAATTAAAATAACAAGATGAACATGAAATTATTTTAGGCACAGACAACATCCCCCACACTTTTGAAAGTCTTGCAACGCGCCTGGTCGCTCGTGTACGTCAAAGTTATCTTTCATAAAAAGATAATCAATAAAACGATTTATATAAAGTGGATCCAGAAGCTGTAGCCCGTCTCTGCCTTCAATATTCACACTGTTGGTGGTTTTACTGAGCAGGTGCCATTTTTGTCATACGTTTCTTTTTAAAACATGTTTAGACTGTTCAGAATACAAATCCAGGCTCTGTCACGTTTGATTGTTGTAATTAAACTTTGTAGGTGGGGAAGGTCAGAAAGCAGCTCAGAAGCACATGATTACGCACAAGCGTGACGCGTCAACCCGGTCTCACAGACCGGGTTGGACCTGTTCAGGTTTACGCAGACAATCTTTACATTTAGAATTGGCATACAGATGTAAAATTAATGCAGTAAAATATAAAGCATTTTATTTAAATATCCATTCATTATTTTACAAGCACAGAGAGCCGCATCAGATGGATGAGGAGCCGCATGCGGCTCCAGAGCCGCGGGTTGCCGCCCCCTGTGCTAGCCTACTTTATTGTCCCCAGCAATTTTTAAACCCCACTCAAGTGTATGGTTATTGTCCCCAGCAATTCTGAAAACAAACTGACGCCCTTGTTGAGAGGCTCCACCTAAAAGGCATTGTAATTGGTAAGTTTAATCACAACAGTAACACGACTGTTCTATCACACAGCTGATAAAATTATAGTTTAGGATAAAATTATTAGCCACCCATGACAATCACATTTCTTTTCAAAGTAAAAATACTTAGTCTTAACAACTTGTTTGCGAAATGGCATGCAGTGCGCCTGTGAATGTCACAAGCCTCGAAATTATAACACCACGCTATCGCTGGCTTCAAGACAGCTATTGCCACTTTGCCCGCAATGTGACGCGTTCTTCAGGGTCAACTCTCGCTCGTGAAATTCTTGTTTGGTTTTAGTGTCAGGAAAGAACCGCTGGTTTGTGTTTGGTAAAGTAAACTGTGGCAGTGTAAGTACTAAGTGACTATGACGATTTGATGTTGTAACTTTGGCTGTCACTTTCAACCCCAGATGACGAGATGAATCCATTAACTAATGCAAAACTGACTTTTTAACTAGCCAGTTACTTAGCCCACCACAGGTCACTTTTGCATGGACTGTTGCGTCATCCTTTTTAAAGTCTTTCTCCATGTATATGCCTTTATTTTCAGCTGCAGTGAGAAGGAATCCGGTCTGTGTGGCATCTACGGAGGCAGAAATTATAAATACAATTAAAAAATGGTTCTACTGGGCTGGGGATAGGGACGCAAAAGGAGATTGCCCGCCCAACCAACCCCTCAACCAGCCCAGGACTCAGTCCAGGACTGACTTTTAAAAAAACAAATAAATAAAATATTCAAATTTTACTCTTGTTTGGTTTTATGTTTATGCACCTTGTACACACAGTAACCTAGGCTATTTCACAAGGCTATTTAACTAAGGCACAAAATCTGAATCTTCTGTACAAGGACATTTTATAGTCTATTAAAATGTTGAATTAAATTTAGCATAAGGTTCAGAATAAAATACAATCTTTTGGTAAACGTTTGGCTAATTATGGATAAGTTATAGTTCATATTTGGCTTTATTGTGGGATTTTGGGATAGCACCGTGGCTATGCTTTGGAAAGCCACATTTTATTTTGGGTAATCTTTTGGCAAACTTATGGTTACACTTTGATATCCTTTGGCCATTTTGTGGTGTTTTGGGGTTCTTTTGGTATAGTTATGGTTGTGCTTTGGAATTCCACAATTTATTTTGGAAGAATTCTGGCAACCTTTTGACAATCTATAATTCTATTTTGGCATGCCTTATTTGGGCCATATTTGGCCCATCATTCCACCCAAAAGAGTACCAAGACTGGCTTGCCAAACTAGTGCCAAAAATGATTCTGGCAACCTTTTGACAATCCATAATTATATTTTGGCGTGCCTAATTTGGGCCATATTTGGCCCATCATTCCATCCAAAAGAGTACCAAGACTGGCTTGCCAAACTAGGGCCAAAAAGAATTTGCTATCTGGGACTCCATACCAGTTGAGGGCGGTATTGCACTAAGCCGTTGATTTTTAACCGTCAATAAAAACAACGAAGAAGAAAAAGAACAGGATTCGGCGCGCGAAAGCTCTAGCAGGAAGTGAGAGGAGCTGGAGGCATACGGCGGTCTGTTTGGTATTTGAATCTCTCAAACAACTTCCATAATCTTTAAACATCTACTTTAATATGGCAGACCCCAAGGTGAGGACACACTTTCTTTGTTAATCTACACATCCAGTTTCCTTTAAAATTAGAATTTCATGACGGAAATTGTATTTAGTGTCTGAAAATTCGCAAAATTTAGGAAAGGAAGCCAAGAGACAGATATGCGGACAATGAAGTTGCTCTCCGTGATGCTAGAAAAGCGTTTTGGGGTGTTTTCGCCCACTGTCATTCACGCCAGTTACATAAAAACATCGCTGAAACTAGTGTGTTGTACATTTGCTTTGAAATTTGACATAATATGTCGCTGTAGTGTTGAGGTTTACGAGCTCCGAGAAGTACACTGAAGTATCCAGCGAGTCAGCATGTTAGCCACATTACAATGCTCGGTAGCAACGTTAGACGATTAACATCAAACAATTAATAATTTATTGTTGTCTTTACGAAGTTGTATTAATCTACTCATCAGCTGGAAGCAGATAACGCGGTTAGCTGCGGTTTTTGCCTTTGTCTGCCTACTACAACAGTTGCTAATGCTAGCATTCATGCTAGGGCGAAGGGGAGAGCAACCCCGTGTTGTTTTATTAACAACAATGTTGTAATGAAGTCTGAGTTATCCCCAGACTAATGCAGAACTTCCAGATTAGCGTGTGTTTTAGTTGTTTTCGTTAGACCGAGTTAACAGCCCAACCATGATTAGCCGCGGACTAGCGTCAGCCTTACAGGCCTCTAACTAGCCGGGCAACTTAGTTATCGGGTAATTAAACAACTCTAGTCTGACTGAGTTCATTTCATTTTAGAATAAAAGCTGCATACTTAAGATATATAAACGATAATTGAGATCAGTGAATAAACACGTTTTTGTAAACCATCAAACCTGGAAAATGGCCCTCTGAAAGTTTTAGATGGGATTTTTTTCAATTTGTAGCTTCATGGCTTTTTCATGTCACATAAATTGTTGTCTTTAGCCATCCTTTAAAACTGACTGTACATCTTCCTGAATTTTTAAGCACTTTAATGGAGAAAAACGTGTATAATAATGATGAAAAGCTGCGGTTTATCAAAGCTCTTGTATTCCTTTACTGAAACATTTATTGTTTGTTGATGCCTTCACTTTGCTCCTGTAAATTCAAGAACCGCACCGACAAACATAAATGCTGTGGTACGTTTTCTAAACCCACTTCTTTTCTCTTAGGATCAGGAAGACCACGAGCCCACTGCAGACAATACAGAGGACTCCAATCACGACCCACAATTTGAGCCCATCGTGTCTCTCCCAGAGCAGGATGTTAAAACATTAGAAGAAGACGAAGAGGAGCTCTTTAAAATGTAAGATGCTTCATTTGTCGCATTTGTTTTATTTTCTTTACAGGGTTACAAATTTGATTCTTGACGTGAACATTAGCCATTTTCTGCCCAAATATTTGCTGCTGATTAAAATGTAAAAGGAAAAAAGCTGGTTATTGGGGAGATTCTACAAGCAATCTTTTATTTTAAATGCTTATGTTTATCGTTAGTATAAAAATTTGTTTAATGAAGGACTTTCCTGTTTTCCTAGGCGAGCTAAACTATATCGCTTTGCCTCTGAGAACGATCCACCCGAATGGAAGGAGAGAGGAACTGGTGATGTCAAGCTGCTGAAACACAAAGAGAAGGGTACAATTCGTCTCTTGATGAGGAGAGACCGAACCCTGAAGATTTGTGCCAATCATCATAGTGAGTCATTAAGTCAAACCACAATTCAAGACCTAGCTGGACTTGTTGGCGTGTGTACATTTAAATTAAAAGTGAACCCTTATGTATTCTGGATTCTTTAGCATCCTGAGTAAACAGGAGAAACACTTGAGAAAACAGGTCATGCTCATCTCTATCGTGACTAACCAGTACACCTGTCTGATCTGCAACTGAAGCTGGAAAATTGAGAATGATTTTGCAAAAGAGCTTCCGTAATTTCTCAAAATGTCTGCAGTATTTGGATTTATAAAGTAACTTGTGGTCTCTTTTTATAGCGGTGTTAATGACCCTTGCACCCTCTTGTGAATGACAGTTTTTCCCGTGATGGAGTTGAAGCCAAACGCTGGCAGTGACAGAGCATGGGTCTGGAACACATTAGCAGATTACGCTGATGAGTCCCCCAAACAGGAACTCCTGGCAATACGCTTTTTAAATGCAGAAAGTACGTACTTAAATCCAGGTGTTGTACTAAGAGCTGCTCATACGTGCTTACTTTTGCTCACACATGATCATGTCTGTCCACAGACGCTCAGAAGTTCAAGGTGAAGTTTGATGAATGCAAGGAGGAAGTGAGAAAAGTTCTAGAGAAATCAGGTGAGTAAAGCGTAAACCTCAGTTGTGAATGGATTGAGGTAAAGATGAACTCCAGTCTTTTTAATCATTTAAAGGCTGCAGACACACTCTGTTCTTTGCTGTTCACTCCAGCTTGGGACTTTTTCTGTCTGCTACATGAACACACAGGATGTACCAGTGCTAGCTTTACTACAGGGCTGGCGTCAGTATGTTCTGGGACACACACACACACAGAGAGAGTTATCAAGTGGTGTAAATATAAAGCTTTGTGAAGAAAAGCTAGCTTGTTAAATTATTCATAGCTTTTGATGCCATGGCTTGTTTTATTGCTTCAACACAGGGGAAGACCTCGACAATGAGAACCAGGTGGTTGAGAAGCTGGGGGGGTTATCCGTTAAAGACAAGGTGTCTGCAGAAAAGGAGGACAAAAAGGAAAGTGAGAAGAAAAAAGATGAGAAAAAGGAGCTGAAAGCTGAGGAGAAGAATTAGAAACCCAAGAACTTGCTTTGCTGATCTTCAGTTTATCATGTTTCTCCCTTTTTCTACAATAGACTCTAAATGAACAGAATTTGGACACTTGCATTTTTTTTTAAAATCTGTTTTGCCTCAAGATCACAGGTCTTTGATGCCGTGTGGGAAAATCAGTGATTTTGTGAAAGAAAAAAGCTCCTCCCACGCTTTTCCCTCTGCACAATGGAAAATCATGCCTACCATCACTTTGTCACCAAGCGTTCGATATTACTGACAAACTGAAGGGGCTTGTGAAAGAGATCATTCCCACTTTTTGTTTTTCATTATTCTGAAGCAAAGTTCATTTGTGAGGAGAGAGGATAATGTAGCCTGCTTATTAGCAGTACAGGGTCTGGGACCAGGCATTATGGAGGATGAAACCCCATGATGCATCTCAGCGGGCCTTCACACCCTGTTCACACTTCTGCTGCTGTTAGATCACAAGTAAGATGAAGACTTCTTGGTTGCTTTGTAGAGGTAGTTCTTTCTCAGCTCCTCTTTACTCGGATCTGTTGGTAGCGGACTTCAAGAGGAGTCCTCCAGACAGATTTCAGATGGCCACGTTCACCCATCCCTGACTGAGGTCAGATGCACTTAGCTAAGAACTTCATATTCCCTTTTGTTTCAGACTTTTCAGATCCATTAAGCCCAAAGTAAACCGTTTCAGTTTGGTGTGGAACTTTTGCATCTCACCAAGACATCAGTTTGTTATTTACCATAACATCTCCAGACTTTAGAAGCATGTGTGTAATGGAGTGCACCCCCATCTAATCTGTTCACAACTCCTTTTCGTTCCACTAATTAATTTCTTAACCTCCAATCTCAAGTGCATCTAAGTGCCAGTGCATTCTGTAAATACATGTATGTGGATGAAATGTTACTCTTCATTTGCACTCGGATGATCTGAAATGTTTCCTCTAACTTCAAATAAAGCCTATCAAAGACCACACATTTGGACCTGTAAAGAAAATCACTAAAGATGTGCTACATGAGTGTCCTGGTGTGTTCGTTAGGAAGGAATCTGATTCACTCAAAGTTGGAAAGTTTATTTACTTTGCTTGGGTCACTGGGAATTTTTTCCTCTTCACAAAAATAGGAACACATACAGTTTATTCTGTATTATACACAATTGTCTCAGAAATCAAAGTCAGCTTGTGGCTGGTAGTCGTTGCCCGTCAGGAATGGCCCCTGACCTGCAGTGATGTCCATCCTAAAATAAAAACAAGACTAATGGCAGTCATCTTGAGGAATGACATCGATTGCATTTTGATTTGTGGTCGGATAACTTTGAGGGAAACCGCTCCGTCTCGATCACCTACCCATCCAGGTAGTTGACTGCAGCCTCACAACATGTGTTAAGGCAGCTGGGTGACACCTTAAGGAGAGACCATGGCGAGCTAAATTAGAGCAACGTGTAACCTCCAGCCTGGGCGACAGCAGGACCAACAGCTGCTGTGACCTTTGGAGGACTGAATTAATTAGAAAAGAAAAAAAATCCTTCATGAAGTGATTTTATACCTAGCAACATCACGTCACTTCAAACGCGAGCCATTTTTTATTTTTACCCACCCTGATTCACTTTCTGCTCAAAATAAAATACTAAGCGTTGCATTGTCCCTTAAGTGTACAACAGTGTCTCAGACACAACCTCTTGTGTAGGAAACAACTTTTCCTCAAAAGGCAACAATGGCTTATTTTTTAATGCAAATACAGACTTAAAGCAAACAAATGTAACATGTAGCTTTGCTTTGTCTGCTTTTCTTCTGTTAAACGGGCGTACATCTGGACACTAAACAGCAAACACTAAGTGAACAACACCTGAGCTGTACCAGACAGCAAAGTAAATAGATTTTTCCTCTTTCTGCACCGATGTCACCTGCTTGCTGCGACTGAGGTGGTGTGTTTGTGGCCATGTTTGGCACTGATGTCAAGGCAGACTCAATTTAAACCACACTCCTCAACTTCGTCCACGTAGATGACGTGGTTAATCTCCACAACACAAACTATCCGTTACAGTTTATCATACACATATTTTACACATCAAATTAGAGCTAGATATATTTGTGTGTGAGCAGATTTTTTTTTTTCTGAGGAACTTTGTAGTTAATGAAAATACAAAAACCCTTTAATATAACTCCATTTCAAGCTGGGGGATAAAATATAACTACTTTTTCTTTTTACTACATAAGAAATTAGAGTTCTCATTCTTTTCTGTTTGATAAAGCAAAAAAAAAGTATGTTCCTTTTTTCCTTCATGAACCTTAAACGGGGGGTTTGGGGGCTGTGCGAAGGTGGATTCGGTCTGGAGAAATACCAGGATGAGGTATTCTGGTCTCTTCAGAATGCCAGTCTTATCGGTCCGTCTCTTGGACTGCAGGTTGAAAACAAAGGCTCATGGTTCAACGCCACCCTCTGAGGGGGGGTGGGGTATATTCAAGCCCTAAAAAATCTGCACTGAACATCAACAAAGGACACATTCAAAATATATGAATTCATGTCAACTAGCATATCCGCTGGTTGCATTAATTCCTGAGAAAAATATATTCCTACAAATATATTTAAACATAGTTGGCTTCTCTCTTCGATAAAAAGCTAGTATTTCTCATTGAATTTGGAATGCAACCACCAGACTTGACTAAATTCTCACTTTTCAGTTTCTTTTCTCACTTCTGAGGTTTCCAGTCTTTCAACGCATTCTCAAAGCCGTACATCAAACATACCAAAGACACGAACAGTTCAAGTTAAAGTGGAGCACCTTGAATTCTTTTTAAATCAGGGAGGACTTCCTGTAGACGAGGGTGTCAGTATTCAGTTGATCTGTTCACTTCTCAGTCTTTACTGGAGCGATGTTTGTTCAAGACATTGCGACAAAGGCTGGCGGCCTTGTAGGACAAGCAACACACAGCACAGTTTGTGGCGCAGATCGACAACTTCCACAGTACCGATTAACACCAGCTGGACAGACACACACGGGCAGGAGCAGTCGAATTCTCTGACCATACTGAAAACTCAAAACAACAAACACTAACACCCCTCATTGCCCAGTATTTAAAAATAGCAGGGTGGTGTGGTTAGAGGCAGAGGTGTTGGCCTTGCTCACACGGATATTTCATACGTGGTGCCTCCTACACCCGTCACCTTTTTGACGTTATTGTGGCGACCGGGGCTGAGGGGGACACCCTGGGTGTTCAGGTGGCAGTCCATCTGCCCATTAACTTTCATGGCCTCTCTGAGTGGAGAGAAGAGAACAGAGACAATGGTTCAATACAAAGAGCCAGTGAGGCAACAGACCAACCCATGGAGACATGCAGTTTCCATTTGGATAAACAATTTTAAATGATACAAGGATAGCCATGCAGACTGTCTACCTGCTAGTATGGAAAATGTTACATGAGCGGATGGAAAGCATGCAAATGGAAGGAAAAATGGAGAGTCACATATTTATTTAACTGACGTGTCAAATTATACAAAACTTTTTATTTCCTGCAAAGGCAAACATATAAATCATGAAAGAACACGTGCAATGTCACATCAGACAGAAGCATTAAACAGTCAGCGGGCATACAGATGCTACATGTTGCCTGGGGTAGAAATAGAGCTCTAGAGAGGCTGTGTTTAGCAGAAAAAGCAACATTTCTGATGGGAACTCATTCCATGTCCCAACAGAGCACCACAGTGCATGCAGCCCCCCAGTGGTGTAATGTCAGGATTCATACCTTGGGCCCCCTAGCCGGGGTGAGTCTGTCCTCTCATGAGCACTGATGTAGGAGAGTTTCTGGTGGGAGTAGGAGGGGGATCGGGCCACAGCGGGGGAGTGGGGCTGGTGGGCTGGGGAGCGATAAGGCCCCTCGTGACCTGGGGCCCTGCTCTGGGAACTGTTGGTACTGCTATGATCAGTGTGCAGTGACGTGGATGAAGTCCGAGGGGCGCGACCCAGAGTGGAACCAGCATGGCGCAACACAGGGGTTCTTTGGCCATAACTTACCAGCCCAACCCCTATTAGGTTGTCCCTAGAGCCTCCATAGGCAGGAGGTGTCGGGCCCCTCGAGCCAGGGCCACGAGGCCCATCTGAGAAGCAAGCATTATTGGGTAGACCATATCCCCCATCAAACATGCCAGAGTCCTGGGCATAGATATGGGTATGGGAGCGCCCATGCAGCATTTGCCGCTTCTCCCGCTCCTCCATCTCTTTTCGCTCCTGGATCGAGGCCATGATGGTCTGGGAAAGGTTATCGTAGCGCACTGGAGATGGCTCTCTGTCCCTGAAGTGAGGAGATTGTCTGCCTACCCCCCTGGGGGGCATCACTGGACTGTAGGTTTGAGCAATTTGTTGTCTATGGACTTCAGTCTCCCGGATGTGGCACATTTTGGTGGGCAGGTAGGGTGAATGGAATCCCATTGAGGGCACACCACGGTGGGCTATGCACTCATTGGCACTGGCTGGAGAGATGGAGGGATTGAGCAGGCTATCATAAGACAGACTGCCATTACGGTTGGAGTGTGTGTTTGGAGAAAACACCCCCTTGTATGGGGTGGACGCAACTGTCTGCGGAGGCAGCGCCTGAAGCTGACCCTTCCCCGGACGACGGGGACCTTGCTTCAGGCTGAGAGAGCGGGAGTTGACGGGATCAGAGTCCAGCTGATGAGGTGAGGACTGGAAGGTGCGATGCAGCGGAGCGTTGGCATACTCAGGTAGGTCCAGGTTGGGCTCAGATCGGTAGTCATGACCCCGCACACCTTCTTCCAAAATGGCTGAGTTCTTTCGGTCATCTGACATAACAATCTAATAATCAAAGTGATGAGAACCATAAAAAAAACATATCAATGATAACAGTTTAAAATGTAAGCCATACCTAGGAAAACTCATTTTCTTTTACCTTATCCCCTGCAGTATGGTAGTGGACTTTAGGCATGGTGCCAAAGGACGGTATGAACTTGTACATGGCTGGAGTGGACGAGTGGGTTTTTCCAGAAAGAGAACTTTCTATATGACATAAACGGTGGAAAAGGATGAGAATTAACAACCCAAGAGCTGAAAACTCATTAGTTAAAAGAAGAAAAAGGTTTGAGAAAATGTAAATCGAATCCACTACGACTCAAGTCTGTTTTAAAATGCTACACTTTGGTAAACAAACCCGAAGAAAAATTAGTTTTAGGAAGTATTTAGTGTTCTTACAAGAATGTTTTTCAACACTGAGAAGTTCTCCTTAGACACCAGCAGAGGGCAGTGGCGCTGTGAGGTTGTGCAGAAAGCATTTCCTACCTGACACAATACAGCTAAGGAGAGAACCTGCTGTTCCCAGCACTTCATACATTACTGACATTAGATTCTACCAAATAGTATTAGCTACGTAGATATAAATCACAAATATTTACAGACACTTTCACCCTTCTGTGGTTAGTAATGTTTCTGAACCCAAAGGCAGTGAGTGATTCATGCTGCAACGATTCACCGTGCAGAAATCCTGTGCTGATTCAGTGTGCAGGGCTTGCCTCATCACTAGAGATCACACTGATTCACCAGCCAATGGGAATGAACGATCATCAGTGTTAGCAATTTAAGACCAGGACACTGGTGAACCTCAATGTTTGGGGAAATTAGCTTCTGGTGCAAATGCGGAAATAAACTGATGATGATGCCTGTCAGGGGTGAAGTGGGGTGGGGTGAGGTGGCTGCAGTTCTCACCTTCACTGGAAGTCAGCTGGCTCTTCAACTGGTTGTACCGTTCAGCTTTGGGCGGCAGCGGTGGCTGGCTCTCTTTGCTGTCCAGACCATCAATGCTGCCTTTGGACTACAAGCAGGAGAGACGGAGTTAAAAGCATCCAGAACTGGAGGAGGAAAAGCACGTTTAACAGAGAGGACCATCTGTTCTTGTTAAAGATGCAATAACAGCTCACACAGAGGAATGCTCAACTTGGTAATTGCTCTGCGAGGACTTTAAAGGATTGTTTATTTAGAGGCTGATGGAGAGAAAAACAAAAGTGAGCTTTCCACTAATTAGAGGTATTTGGAGGTGGCATGAGACATTGCTAAAATAAATCTGAACTTGTAGTTTTAACACTACAGTTGCATGGATGAATTTCCAGTTAGATTTATTTAGCAGCTTCATCATTTGGTAGAAAGGCTGATGTGTAACATTGATTTAGGAGAACTTCTGCTTAATTCTCATCTGCAGAAAAGTAGTTCATCTGTTTTAGAGGATCAGTGTATCTGGAGACACCCCCCCCCCCCCCCACGCACACACACACTGTTCTTTACTAAAACTACGGAATTAAATAAAACTGAAAACATAAAAAAATCTGAATGATTGGAAAATATAATTTTCATGTTATAATATGTACAATAAGCTAACACTCATCAAATAAAGTACAAAAAACTACCAATATGATACAGACGCAGATGTTTATAAGCATATCGCTTATATAGAAAGGAAGAAAAAAACAATCTTTTATATAGCGCCTCTCGAGGTAAAAATCACCAGGTGCGTCGCAAAAACAAAAAATTGTAACTATAAATTTTTTTTTTAATGATTTAAAAATATGTTTAAAATGACAAAAAAATAAAACATTGTGATTAAAAAATGTAAGGAAAGGCAGAGAGAAAATGAATAGGAAAGAGGGAAATCTGTAGATCCTGGAAAAGGCGGAGTAGGTAGAAAGAGCAGAATTAGGAGAGGGTGGTGAAGGTCACGCTAAAGCCAGCTTGAACAAGTGAGTTTTCAGCTGCCTTTTAAAGGAGACCACTGAGTCCACTGATCTCAGGCTCAGGGGGAGAGAGTTACAGAGTCTGGGGGCCACAGCAGCAAATGATCTGTCACCTTTGGTCTTTAGCCTGGTGCTGCACAACCAGTAGGCTTTGATCACTGGACCTCAGGGACCTGCTGGGGGTGTAGGGACTAAGAAGATCACCAATGTAAGATGGTGCTTGTCCATGTAAGGCCCTATAGACCAGAACCAGGATCTTGAAATGAACCCTGAAGTTGACTGGCAGCCAGTGAAGCTGGAGGAGAAGCGGAGTGATGTGGGTGTGTTTGGAGGACTTGGTCAGAAGCCGAGCACAGGCATTCTGAACCACCTGTAGACGGTTCAGGGAGGTTCTGCTCAGACACGTGAAAAGAGAGTTACAGTAGTCTAAGCGTGAGGAGATGACGGTGTGGATAATTGTCTCAAGTTCAGAGCGGGACAGAATGGGACTCAGCTTAGCAATGTTCCTGAGATGGAAGAAGGAAGAGCGAACAAGAGAACTGACATGAGAATCCAGGGTGAGAGCTGGGTCAAAGGTCACACCAAGATTCCTGACAGAAGGTTTGGTGTGAGAAGCAAGCTGACCAAGAGAGTCTCTGACTTTGGGAACCAGCTTGTCTGGGGCACAGATGAGGATCTCAGTCTTATCTTCATTCAGCTGAAGAAAACTCCCAGCCATCCAGGTTTTGATAGAGTCTAAGCAGGTGTGTAACAGCTGCAGCTTAGACATCTCATGGGGCTTAACGGTGGTGCAGTTGTTAGCACTGTTGCCTCACAGCAAGAAGGTTGCAGGTTCGAAACTCGGCTTTGGCCTTTCTGTGTGGAGTTGCATGTTCTCCCCATGCATGCGTGGGTTTCCTCCAGGTACTCCAGTTTCCCCTACAGATCACAACATGCCCTACAAGTTAAAAATTGTACGTCGCTTTGGATAAAAGCGTCAGCCAAAAAAAAAAAAACATTAACGGAGATGTACAGTTGGATGTGTAAAGACAGTAGGAGATTCCTTTAAAGGAGCTCAGGATGTGCTGAAGAGGAAGCAGATAGAGGAGGAAGAGCAGAGGCCCCAGCACAGAACCTTGTGGGACACCATGGGTAAGAGAGGTGGTGGAGGACCTAAACTTGGAAACATCCACAGAAAAGGAGCGCTCAGAGAGATAAGAGGAGAACCACTACAGAGCAGATCCTGATAGGCCTACCCAGTCTCTCAGCCTCTCCAGTAGCAGGTGATGGTCAACAGTGTCAAAGGCTGCAGTCAGGTCCAGCAGGACCAGAACAGAACAGTCCCCTGCATCACTGTGAGTCAGAAGGTCAGAGACCCTAAGAAGAGCTGTTTCAATAGAATGAGCACTAGAAAAACCTGACTGGAAGCTAAGACAGACAGACAGACAGATAGACAGATAGATAGATAGATAGATAGATAGATAGAGTTTATTACTGAACAACACTCTGTTGGATTTAGAATAACAGTGCATATGTTAATCTGAACCCCCTACCGTATGGAATAAGCATCTGCACGCTATAGTGAAACAGCCTCCACACTTGGAGGATGGAGGTCTCCATCTTTTATGCACTGGCACCCCTGGATCATTTTCTTAGGGGTGGTCTGATGGGACCAGAGGAAATTTTGGAGGTGGCACACCAGATTGGTCTGTGTGGTAACTCTAGGAGAGGTGAGCCTGTGGTGATGCATCGCATGCTCCTTTATTCCCTGACCACCCCTTGGGGGCACCACTGCTTTATGTGATAATAAAATATATTCTTTTTTGTTTCTGTTTACAGGAGTACATTGCTTTCCTTTGTTTCTGTGATGAATTGGAATATTAACTCCACAATAACTTGGTTTCAGCTTCCCACAGTTTCACTGAGTTTTAGGTTCTTTCTTCATTTTTAATCCCAACAGAAGGAGGAGACATAAGAGACAATGAGACTTGTTTTTAAAGGTGTGGAACACTGAAAAAATATTTTTTTCAATATTATCTCTGATTATAACCAGGTTTTTCAAGCAGGCTGAACATGAAAATAGTCTCCTACACCTATCCCCTTTATTAGCTTCTGATGGAAAGTAGACGGTGAAACTCTAGGATTAGAAAATCCTCACAGATCTACGCCACACTGTCACTTAACATTCATGGACTCACCCATCTTGACTCATGACGGGGAAGGTTGTTGTTGGTTTAGCATCCAGGAAACAGCAGAGATTGTCTCAACTAGAAGCTAACCGTTAGCATTAGCAACTCCACCACACAGCAGAACACCTCCAAGCTTGTGTTATTTGTGGAGATAAAGCATCAACGTTGTAAAGCAAACAAAGTCAGCGGTAGAGTCACAGTGCTGTTATCCAATCAGAGGACAGATGTCCAAACATCATCTGAAGCTCTCCTCTGATCTGGCAGTCTGTGGCTCACTTCTACTTCCTGAACCTGGTGCACTGCGGCCGTTTGTCTCCAGGGTGCAACTTATAAGGCATTAATTCCTAGAGACCATTGCAAATGAATAAAAGAAAGTGCCACACCTTTAAACTAGTTTTCCTTGGAAGAGGTATTATCTTTATTGTTATTTAGCGAGCGCCGGTAAAACACTAATAATAAACTGGTACCCAGGCAGCCAACAAAAACAGATGGCTGACAAAGAAATAAAAGCATCCAACCAAAATGCTCGTTCGTGCCTTCAAATTCAGCCATCAACTTTGTGGAGAGTAACACATCCTTTTCTAGGTCGCATCCCTTATCTGAGTCACTTGTTTTGAAGTCTAAGAATATCCTTCTGTACTGATGCTGAAATAATTTAGTGCAATTGTCTTGAATCCCAGCATCACAAAACTAAAGGAGCTGCAAACAGAAGCTAAACTGGAAAATGGGAAACATGAAGAGCTGCTCGTCGGCATGGTAACTTGGGAGAGTGAAGTGGTGATTGTGAGCTGTTCACCTTGGAGTTGATGATCGTGCTGTGGATCCCGTTGTCGCTGACTTTGATGGTGATCTGCTTGTCTGACAGGTCTGGTCTGATGAAGGGGGCCTGGATTTTGATGTGGGGCTTTGTCCGGGGGTCCAGAACGTATCTGTAAAGAACATCCAAACTCTCTTTACACAAGACTTTTCTTTCCTTTTTATACTTTATTCTGTCTTTTCAATACAAGGAATAGACCTAGACTCAATATTTGCTTTTTCATACACCCAGTGAGAAAAAGTGGATATTTAACTCAACAAAAACAAATAAAGAATAAAAGCTACACACACACACAAGCATGCATATATATGTATATACATACATACATTTTATTTTATTTTTTAGGGCATTTGTTTGATGTACACTGACCATCATGTCTTAGCTGACTTGAAATTTTGTATGTTTTTTTCCCCACATAGACTTTTTATGCATTCAAGCCATTTTTTTAAACTGGCTGAACCAGAATTTTTTCCCAACTTCTTGTTTTCTGACTTTTCTTTCACAGATGATAGAGTTGGTCCCTATACACATGATGGAGTTGCTCACAGTATTTATGCAAAATCCCATTTCATCATTATATTTTCAGAGCACATTTATTTCAAGCAATCAGATCTATCACTAAACGAACATCACCGATTAGATGTCCGATTTTTAAAACGCCTTTCCGTAGCAGTCAAGGTAAACACGATGTGAGTCAAAGGGTTCGGTAAATCAAAAACACTCCAGCAACGACCCAACGGGATGCTGCACCTTGTTCTTCTCTCTTTTCCTTACATTTAGTATAGAATAGGACTCATTTGAGCAGGATGTAAAATTTTAGAATAATGTAGTAATTCTCTTCGTGTTTCCCATTAACTGTTGATCCACAAAGGGAGGCAGTTCTCTTAGCCATCTGCCTCCCTCCAGGGTTGCTGGCTGCTTTCACCCAAACAGAGCAGCTCTACACGTACATACACTCATAGCACAGTCTGCACTGCAGCGATTGGGCGGGGCTGAGTCTGTGCAACAATATGAACGTCCACCAAAGACCTGCTGTGTGCACTAAGCAGGATCCTGCTTTTACTCTGCAATATACAGAAATATATTTATTTGTAAATGAGGAAACCAGGACATTAGCAGCAGACAAAAGCATCTTACCTGGGTGCCAGGGGACTACATAAGACATACTCCACGTTGCCACAGCAACCCTTGGTGAAAGGATTTACTCCTCCTCGAAACTTGCCCGTCACCTGAGGAACACGATGCTTGTTTAGAGCCGACAGCAATGGAAGCATAAGGTCACAGCGTGCGTGTGCGCGCACGCACACGCACGCGCACGCACACGCACACACGCACACACACACACACACACACACACACACACACACACACACACACACACACACACACACACACACACACAGGAGGACTGATGCTTGGATTAAACAAAAACAGTAATCGGAAAATAAGAATGCAGCAGAAGGTTTTCCCCCTTTCTGCATGAGTGTTGCATTTTTTGTTTTGCGGTGCCAGCAATGTTTTCAAGAACCACAGCAAGGATTAGACGGGAACTTGTAGAAAATAAATATTGGGAAATATCTTCAACTGAGTCACCTTTAGTGTCAACTCAGCCATTGAAATGGGAACGGAGCTAAAGTTTTACGTAGTTTGTTCGTCGTAAATAGCAACAATCACTTCTCAACCACAGAATGCCTCGAACCTGGTCTCTATGATAGGACTAGTACTTTCCTCACACACCACCTGCATCCAATTATTTCCTTCCTATAGCTGTATTATTCAACTGGACAAAAAAAAAACCAGGAGATAATCATGTTAATAATAGCACTCACCAGAAAATCTGTTATTTATCTAACGTATACAGCTTTAAAAGGGTTGACACATCGTTGCTGGGCCTTGTGTTTACCATCATTATTTAAGTTCATTTGGACACATTAAAACTGTGAGTATGTTTCAGCATAAAGCACAACCAGCTTTCTCACCTGCTCGTTGGTTGTTCGCCCTCGAGCTACAAGCACCATGTGAAATCCTGTGAGGCCCATAACTGGAATAAAGAACAGCCCTGCTATGCCCATCACCACCAGGCTGGAAACTAAAGTCAAGGCAAACCACTAAGTGCTGTGCATGTACTATTATCATGGATGGTATTAAAACAAGTGCTTACACAGGTGATGTTCCACGAAATAAAATTTTCAAGTGGCAATAGCGTCTTAAGCAAAATAGATGTAAAATGATGAGTTCAGGCAGATATTTTCTAGTGAAAGGATACGTGACGATGGTGTGCAGTCCTCCCAGTTTTTCTTTGTGATGGAGGACAAAGATCAGGCCAAAGGAGAAAACTCCAACCATATGAACACTTAATGACAGCAGGAAGAGGAAGAAGTAACGGTAGTTCCTCCGTCCGATGCAGTTGTTCACCCAGGGACAGTGATGGTCGAAGTCCTGAGCAGGAAGGAGGACGAGGAGGAGTTACTGCCATGAAAGCAAAAGTCCACTCTACATACATACATAAATATGTTCAGAATTTCAGGAGCAATTGAGAACAAAAACATCTTCAATTTATCCGAATTAAACTCTTCAACTAAGGAAGATGGTGCCGATTTCAGACAACAGTTTATCCAGAGTGAGTCTTCCTGGGTAAATTCTGCACATGAACATAAATCTGACTAGAAAAAAAGCCCAAAATGCCACCAGAGGATCTCCTGCATTACGAGCAAAGGAAAAAACTCTAGATGAAAACTAGAATTTTTCCATTTTTAAATAAAACTGATTGCTCCCATTAGAAGTGTTTTACATGTTTGACGAGCAGAAATCAAATGTCAGTTTTAGTATTAAATAAAATTGACCTTGCTTAGAACTTGAAGATATTTGTTTGAAAACTGGAGCTAAACAGGACATAAATCTTTAAGCTGGATAATTATCCTGTGTATACACCACCCAGCCACCTGGTTTTAAATAAGCAAGCAGGTAGGAGACTCCGATTGCATGATTACTGCATGGGTGATTATCTTTCAGCCGACAACAAGTTATTTAACCCAACTGGTGCAATGAGTCGCCTCTCATTGTCATTATCATCATTATTATCATCTCACAACCATGTGGAAAAACACATCTGGTGGTCATGGAAAAGATGTTGGTCTATATGTCAGATCATTGGCATCAAGCAGAGAAAACATCTAAGGAGGTGCAGAAATGACTAACACTGGGTTAAGAACTGTCCAGCGCATTAAAAACTGGTCTGATGAGTCCAGATGGACCTGTTCCAGAGTGATGGTGCATCAGGGCAGGAAGAGAGGCAGGTGAAGTGATGCACCCATCATGCCTAGTGCCTGTACAAGCCTGTGGGGGCAGGGCTATGATCTGGGGTTGCTGCAGTTGGTCAGGTCTAGGTTCAGCAACAGGATGTGCTCCAAGAATGAGGTCAGCTGACTACCTGAACATCCTGAATGACCAGGTTATTCTATCTTCCCTGACGGCACGGGCATATTCCAAGATGGCAATGCCAGGATTCATCAGGCTCAGATAGTGAAAGAGTGGTTCAGGGAGCATGAGACATCATTTTCTCACACGGATCGGCCACCACAGAGTCCAGACCTTAACCCCATTGAGAATCTTTGGGATGTGCTGGAGAAGGCTTTGTGCAGCGGTCAGACTCTACCATCATCAGTGCAAGATCTTGGTGAAATTTTCATAGTTTTGATGCCTTCAGTGAGAATCTACCAAATGGTCATGAAAATAAAGACAACACATTGAATGAGAAGGTGTGTCCAAACGTTTGGCCTGTACTGTAGCTCAATAGTAGTGCCTTACAAAATAGCCTGTATTTGTATAGTGCCTTCTTAGGGTTCTACAACCCGCCAAGGTGCTTCACAACACAATCAGGCACCATCTGTCCCTCCAACCACCACCAGCAGGCAAGGCAGGTTAAGCGTCTTGCCCAGTGACAGCATACTATGGTGGGAGCCGGGATCGAACCTGCAACCTTCCAGAGTGACTGGACAACCTGCTCTACCTCCTGAACTACTGCTGTCCCTCAGTTAATCAAAAATACTTGTTTTCATTGCTTTAAGGAAATTAATCTAAATTAAACAAAAATAGGCTCTATGACCATTCTCTTGTATTTATTGAACTATTTTATTGTTATGCATATTTTCTAATTGTAATTTAGAAGAAACCAGAAACACTGTAAAACTCTCTGGTTGTGTAATAAAACCCTTATGCTCATTATTTAGTGTAAAGCCAGTTTTGGTTTATCAAACTAATACTGTTAATATTTTCTTTTACAACTGTCGGGAGCTTTTGTTTACACCAGCAAAGACACATTTTTATTCTGACTCTTTTCTTGACATAAAATCCATTAAATCTTATATTTCTGGGCAGAAAAAAAAACACTCATCAAAAATGCCAAATCCATCCACTTCATTAAAAGTGTAATTTTGGTGAGAAAAATCCTACTGGCCCAACCTTCGCTGTAATCCTGATGGATATTTAAATGATAAACATTGTGTTTCTGCTCTGGTGCATTTGTGTTCACACACCTCCACACAGTTGTCACACACACTGCAGTGGGAGCAGCGAGGCGGCCTGTAGAAGTGGCAGGTGGCACACCACTTCATCCGGACCTGGATGCCTTTGATCTCCACGTTTTTGTAAAGCGGTGCTCGGAAATCATCGTCCTTGTCCTCATCCTCGTCAGCTGTAAAACACACACACACACACACACACACACACACACACACACACACACACACACACACACACACACACACACACACACACACACACACACACACACACACACACACACACACACACACACACACACACACACACACACACACACACACACACACACACACACACACACACACACACACACACACACACACACACACACACACACACACACACACACACCAAGCACGTTAGCTGAGCGCAAATGCAAATACGTGTAAGAAAAACGTTTTTTATGGAAGGCAGAGACGGACACAAAGAAATGTAAGGGTTTGATTTATGATTCTTTCTTCATAAGGACAGCAGGGGAGAGCCTTGAGTGATACTCAACCCCGTCTCCAGAGACTGCAAACACACTGAGAAACGAACATTTCTATAGGAGTGAGCGCTTCAATCTGTTCTGAACATTATCAGATTAATGGGAACATGATGTACCGCTCAAGCTGCCAGGTTTTATTTCCCCACATGCACAATGTGGAGGTAAAACTTTCCGCCACAGTGCTGTTAGTGGTTTTATCTGGTCTAAAATGCAACAACCTTCAAGCTATGGCATTAAAAACACTACATTTGTACTGTCCATGTTATTTTTAGCGATTTTGCTCAGGAGCTGCAGCAGAAATTAAGAAAAAAGGTCTTCCACCTGATCAAAGGGAAATTCAAAAATGGTGTTATAATAACTACAGGGAGAGCTAGGCACAGACACAAACATACAAAATAATGATAATAATACATAAAAGGAGGTGGGAATGACAGAAACTCAGGAGGAGTATTGAAATAAGATGTTCCATAGCAGGAGAAGGCTCCGTTTTTGTGCCTTTTACACAGATTCAAACAGATTTTAAAGGTAAACACCGTGCCAAGCCCACAAACAAACAGATCGTTCACAGCTCTTCATGGCAGAACACTGTCAAGCATCAGCATTTATAGTTCAACTCTCTGAAACACATTGTTGCCTTAATTCTGGTTTTTATGTTTTATGATCACACTCCTGCAACCTTCAGAGAGCTCCTGGCCCAGATGAGGATTGCTCACGTGAAGGTCAGCTGAAGCGCTGCGATTATACACGGTAATAATCAATGAGCTCAATGCTCAGAAGACAGTGGAGATGATTGTGGACTTCAGGAAAGTCACAGCCCCATCTCTCCCCCTCGTCCTGATGGACACCCCCGTCACCACTGTGGACTCCTTCCGCTTCCTCGGACCCACCATCACCCACGACCTTAGGTGGGAGCCATCCATCAGCTCCCTGATCAAAAAGGCCCAGCAGAGGATGTACTTTCTGCGGCAGCTGAAAAAGGACAAGCTGCCGGCCCAGATTATGGTGCAGTTTTACACGGCCATCATTGAGTCCATACTCACCTCCTCCATTGCTGTGTGGTACGCTGGAGCCACAGTGAGGGACAAACACAGACTGCAGCGCATTGTGCGCTCTGCCGAGAAGGTGATTGGCTGCAGCCTTCCATCTCTCCAGGACCTGTACGTCTCCAGAACTCGGGGGCGTGCAGGTCGGATAGCAGCTGACCCTTCTCACCCGGGTCACAGACTTTTTGAGCCGCTTCCCTCAGGCAGGAGGTTACGGTCCATCCAGACCAGAACCTCCCGCCATAAGAACAGCTTCTTTCCATCTGCCGTTAGACTTGTGAACAGCTTATAAACACACAACCATGCTCGTCTGCTGTACTCGACATAACGTCACGTTATCGGCCATGTTACCATTACCTGCCTTTTTTATAGCAAAGTTTTATGCTAGTTTATTATATTTTATTCTACTTTATTCTATTTTTGAAATTTATTATTCAGGTTATATGTAGCACATTAGTACCGAAACAAGTTCCTAGTTTGTGAACTGCTTGTTCACTGACAATGGCAATAAACCTTTTCTGATTCTGATTTATGGAATGGCACTACGAGCCTCCTGACACACACACACACACACGCGCACACGCACACACACGCACACACACACACACGCACGCACGCACGCACGCACGCACGCACACACACACACACACACACACACACACACACACACACACACACACACACACACACACACACACACGGCTACTATGTTTTTTACACATCAGGCTTAAACTGTTTTTAAACAAAAATCTACGTTCCTTATCTGGAGCATCATCTGACATAAAATTAGTAAAAATTTATTTAAAAAGGAAAAATGTTGAACTAATGTGAACAGAAATGAAAAACTCTCAAACCTCTTTTCACCCCACGCAGATACACGTGAAAGGTAAAACCAATTGCAGGTTTTTATTTTCGGTTTATCCGCTGAGATTTCAGGAATGGGTTTTCTGAAAACGCGTGTGCTGTTTGACAAGCTGAACAATTCAGTGATGGTCATCGTGGAGTCTTATGCAACTTCCACAACCGTTCTTCAGGAGGCTGATCACAGACCAGTGAATCACTTGTGTTCTGTGGCCTGAAGCTTCAATAGATCTCCCTGAGAGCTCGCTCAGATTCAGATGAGCACACGGACTGAAAATAATTTCCCAGATTATATGTTGAGAAAACAGCTGAATGTAGTTGTGGTCAGACGTGTACAGACCTCTGGGGTAAATCCCCGGGTCCATGAAGGTTGCCATGCTGAAGTTGGCCAAGACGAAGAGGAAGACAAGGCCATTGTAGAGAGGCACAGCTGGAGAGATGACCTTCGTCAACCAGGGGCACCTACAAACAATCAGAAATAAGACGTAAGACAAAGCCTTGTACAATTCTGCTTGATGACTGATTCTAACATTAGTCTGAGCAACACCCAGTGTATTGAAATGAATGCTCACTTTCCCTTGTTCTGCTCTCACACCCACTTACTCCCACTTGACCCTCCAAACATGATACCCCAACTAATTCTGACGTCAAAAAGTCCATTTCTCTGTGCTTCCCCCCCCAAGATTCCTCCTCGACACATATCTCTGCTCCACCTTTTATGCTTTGATCAATTATTCAGAACCGTGCCTCGGATGGCCACCAACACTGAATAGAGGGGTGGCCTCTCTCACATCATCAGTCCCCAGCTTCCTGAGACCTTTTAAGAGTTATTTTTAGTGATGCACCAATATGAAATTTTTGGGCCAATACCGATATTCGATGTTAAGATCACGGTTATGGCCTATAACTGATATTTGCCGATACCGATATACTGACATTAATGCTTCTAAAATCAGCAGATTTGATACGGAATGACAATTATTAAAGCTGAATTTACGTTATTAAGCAAACATACCACACACATTTACGCCTGGTGGACGGGGGTCTATCTTTCTCCACAATCAAGGTTTACTTGGCTGCCATTTCTGCTTTCCATGTTGATGGAGTGACACCAGGAGGTTTAACGGTGCTAGCGCTCGGCGAGTAGGCACACTTATCAGCAGGCAGCGGTCTAGTTCAACACGAACCGTTAAGCTAGCTCCAAAAAAAACACAGCGAAGAAGAGTGCTAACTAACGGTAGCTAGCTAGCACAGTTTGAGTGGGAGGTGTTCCAGCGAGGTGAAGAGCGTAAGAACTGGAGCATGATGTGTGAGTAGGGGTATTTATAAGCAGATGGACCCTGCCCCATACGTCACACGCAATTAAAGGTGTCTTCAGTCAGACCACGCGAGGGCATGATATCCCATACTATACGTGTTGTAGCTACCAAGTGAATCGGCTGAAAGGGAACTGTGCTGTTGTGTATTTTAAAATGAAATATCCACAATAAGCATTTCAAATAGTATTTTTGAACAGCATTTTATATGAATTAGAAAAAAATTAACCTGTAATTTTCTCTTTATGGTGGGCACAGCTAATGCTAGCTCTCTTACTTCAGCTCGCACTTTGCCACGGGAAACGTCGGCTGCTGCAGTGCAGGACGTAATCTCCAGGAGAGGAAACAGTGTTATTTTTTACTGGTTGTGGAACTTTCTAGGAGGGCACTGTGAAACTCCTGCAGCTCCGCGCATGAATCGATTGTTTATAGCAGGAACCAAATGTGGGTGCTGCTTACGCTGGCTCTCTCTCAACAAAAACCCGGTTCTGCCTCCAGAATTAAGCTCTGGAGAAGGAACTGAGATAAAAACCATATCTACCCTTCATGATTATGGGAAATGTCCGCTCTCTCCCCAACAAAATGGACGCGCTTTCAGCGCTGACCCAGCTGCTGCAAGACCACCGACAGCCTGATGTTTTTTTACGGAGACGAGGATGAACAAGCTCAGGAGACTCTGAGGATTCCTTGGAAAGAATTAAACTCACGTGAGCCGGCAGTAGCGCAGAGCAAATCGGTAAGTGACCCAAACATTTTGAGAAATGTAAATCGATGCTTGAGTCGTCATCCATTTGGTTGGCTTCTTTTGGAAACCCCAACCGTAAACAGGGCGAGAATATCCCACAGAAAAAGGAGCCCTACACAGGAGTTTTCCCCTGGAAGTATCATATGCTAACATGCTCATAGTATATTCCGGGAGATCAGCAAGACTCGTCACTTTTAATTGCAGATCACTGAAATATATGAAAAAAATCATCCCGATCCGATCTCGGGATCGGCATGGGGACATCCCTAAAATGAATGATACAATTTTCTAATTTCTAAGAATAAATGGCAGTTTTTCACACAATGAAGACATTTTTATCAATCTGAGCTTTTATTTACCTCAACAGTGATCTCTTTCTAAACCCCATCAAGCAAACTGGTTAAAACTCAAACACCAGTGTTAGTTATGCTCATGCTTTCTTTTCAGTGGTTTATTTTGTGGTAGAGGACAAAAACATCAAAGTAAATCTAAAAAGAGCTGCCAATTTCTCAGAAGGCTCTGGTGAACAGTAGTGGGATGGATCATCATAGCTTTGGCAGGAAACAGACACAAAATAAAACTTTATATAAAGACTCAAAGGAAAGCACGGGCAACCAACGCCAACATCCAATAAAAAATGTTTTTGCTTCTCAAAGGTTTGTATATTTTTGTCCATGGTGTGATGAAGCCAAGGTAGACAGACCAAAGGAAAAAAACGGAGTGCACTTGGCAGTCTGGAAGCTGACAGCGTGGGAGGGAAATGTCACCAAGGGGAAGTCTAATTAAGGACACACACACACACACTGGTTAATTGAATGGGAGTAACGAGTAACCACAAAGTGCTTATAAACATTGTTTACTAGCCTGTTTTATCGCTTGTGTAACCCTGTATCTATAACTGGAAGAGGAAAGCAAATAGCTTGTCAAAAAGTTGGGTCTAAGTTGTTCAAGTCAAAGTGGCTCTCGCTGCCAAAGTGCAGTAATGGAAGGAGTTTGCATGTGACCTTTCAACTCCAGAGGAGGCTGGATGCTTTGTGATAATCAAAATGCCTGAAGAATAAAAAAGAAACTGGAGGCCTGAGAAAGAAAAGCTTTCTAACCAATCAGCATCTAAAACACCCGCATGAGCATCTGAACACATCAAAGACACAACTGAGGCGTGAAGACAACAACCATCAAAGGAGCAGGAAAAGGAAAATGGCAATCATCTCCTGACTGGGATGAAGACAAAAGCAAGATAAAAAAAAGAGATTACATCAAAGTTGAAGATGTCTTTGCCTTTCATACCGGAGTCCAGAAACCAGCGTATACACCATCCCACTGCCATCGCGAGAGCTCGTGTGACCCGTTATCAGCAGGGGTTTGAGGTGGAAATGCATCACCTTTCAGCTCAATATCTGTTAGACCGACTGAACTAAAGCCATGTTTGTGTTTGCTAACATCAATCAGCAATGACGGCCACTGGATCAGGTTGCGGATTTACATCTAGTGAGGACTTCTGAGAATTTCATTAAAATATGTCCAGTTGTGCATGAGATCTTGCTAACAGGCAGACAAACACACACACACACACAAACACACACACACACACACACACACAGGCCAAAAGGTGAAAGACAGGCAATAAACATTCCCATTGGCTCCTAATGGAACAACACATCCCCTTGAGTCTGCTGTTGGGCCGAAGGTCCCAGAGACACCTTCCCCGCAGCAGCGTTTGCTATGTCTATATACATTTACATTAGCAGAGTGAAGCGAGTTGCCTTCTTCCACTGCTTTCTCCATTTAAACAACTTATGCTCAGATTTCTGCAGAGTCTCAAGGTGGCATCTGGTAGGATTTTGTATTTATTATCCATGTAAAATCAAACAAAAAGCACATGAGTCCAAAATTGTCTTGTGATGGTTTTAAATAAAAGCATGGTGAACCCATTGATTGTTAGGGCTGCAACGCTGAACAGCAGTTAATCAGGACGTAGGTTGTAATTAGGGGTGCACCGTTTGCAGTTGTAGCTCGATTACAGATCTTGAGAAAATCCTGACTTGCCGATACCGATTTTGTCTTAACTAAAAGCAGATCACATCAATGTTTCAATTTCCTTTTATTGAGAAAACCAACATGAATACTCATGAAACAATTAGGATTCAACTGGACATGAGGTAATGTTCTCAAATATAAATGAACACATTTAGCATTGCTGTTTGAGCTACAAGATCATATTTCATCCTTTAGACTTTCAATTTTCTAATTTTGAAAATAAAAAGTTTGTACCTGTTTGGACCCACTTGTCCAAAAAAAAAAAAACCTATTCTAGCAATGATTTGCTTTAACATTAACTACGGGTGCACTGATTGCAGTTTTTGGATGATCACCGATCTTGAAAAAAATCGGGGCCGATAGATTGTCGCACCCCCAGATGTAATACTCTAACATAAGTAGTGTGTTATTTTGGTACTAAAAGTTACGATGACCTTATTGCTGAGTCTGGATTTAAGCTTTGATCTGCTGATCCCACTTCTAATTTATCTCACAAAACTATAACTAACAGAACAAATAAGACTTTTATTTCAAATTATGATCAACCAAAATTAAGATTCTAGAAAAGTAAATTCCACATAAAAGATCTGTGACTGCGAGCATGAATGGTGAGTTCATAGACTGGGAAATGTGTCTAGTTTACGTCACAGAAAATAAAAAAAGGTTTTAAGACTTTTTTGTGCATTTCTTTGTGCATTTTACTTCATGGCTTTGCTGTGCTAGTAGTAATAACCAGTAAGTCACGAGTCTATTACAATAGTCAAGCATAGTGAAAGGGTCTGATGAGTAAATGAAGCTTCCATCTCTAGTAGAAAACAGGAGGAGTGTGTCTGTGGCATTTTTACAACAACTGTGAGAAAGACAAGGAAGCTAAAGCTTTTTAAGTGGATACGACTCAACTGTGGGTGGTTTAAAGCCTCGAATGGTGTTGGTAATGGTAATCATGTTCAAGACAACACTCTCTTCTCGACTACTCATGTCTAACAGATCCTAAACTGAAGAGTGAGCTGCTTTTGAAGTTGACTCAATCTGAGTCTGAACACTGATCAAAGAGAAAATGAGTCAATCCAGGCTTTTGGCTCGGACGCTGAAATCTGGCTCTACTCTTCTGTGTGATCCAAAGGTGACCAAATTCACACAACAGCAGTGTTTAACTCAAATATGCGTCATGTGTTTGACTTAACTAGAACTGGTTTAGAGCAGGGGTCATCAACCCGGTGCTTCCCACTGGCTTTCTCTTTAAATAGCACAAGTCACACAGGCTGCCATCTTTTTAATAACAAATGCATTAATACAGATGTAAAAACTTCAGTATTATTTTATTATACATGAAGTTTAGTTTTAACTCTGATCTACTCCAGTTA